ATGCTTTAAATACCGGTTTAATGCCGTAGAAATTTGAGCAGATTATGCCGGTATTGGTTTTTTCAATCAAAGGAATCGAACCATCATCGATTTTTAGCCCACGAGTAATGCACTATTTGTCAATGTACAGAAGCCCTGGTCTTTTTTTAAGGCTTCGGGATGAAAAATAGATTGCTCACGATATGCCCAACGGAATATATTTTTGTCCACCATCTCTATCTCAGCATTTATACATGTTGTCTTGTAAGTGTACCCTCGTCCAAGTGGACGTATTTCGATACGTAGTACAAGAAATATCTTTGTGCATTCCTCTGATTGTGTATGTGATGATCTCATTGTATTCGTATTATAAGCATCATTTTCCACTGTTTATTTTAACACCTCAATCTCTACTTTATTGTGATTGGAAGAGGAATTTCCGTCGAAGTAAGATAAAATATTCGTGTTATCCTCAAAATTTCAAGGGCTAATGCTTCCTAGCTCAGTTTGGATTTCCGGGAATAACTGAATAATCGTACATACTCTTATGTTTTCTAAGGCACCGCGTTCCCCTTTTTCACAAGATTCAAAATATGAGTTCAAATTTCTCCATAATTTTGTCCATGTTTTTAAAATTTTCTCTTAAAATACTCTGTTGTTCTGAAAAATTAAGAAATTCAAAAAATCTGTAAGGAAATGTTTTGAAAAAAAAAACCTCAAGTTGAATCGGCGTAAACTGCATGGAAATATACTTGCCTGGCACATCCATCTCGTAAGTTCCGGCCATCTAAAGATTTCATGTGATGTTCAGTGAATCTGAATAAATCAACCCTGAAGTATTGAATTATAAAGTGTCTTACGACATGTGATCAAGGCACCTCGAGATGAATTTTTATTTTTTTTTTGTGCTTATTTTACTTTGCTCATGCTACTTGTGCTGCAGCTCTTGCGTTCTATGACATATCTGCCGAATCATTATGTCCTAAGGTTAGATACGTTTTTTTTTTTCATTTAGCCTTTCGCACTGCATTTTCCCGCACTTGGCATTTGTACTGATGGTGATTTTTCGATTTTCTAGTAAGTCATGAATGTGACCAGTATCCTTTGGGATAGATTAATGCATTTCGGTGGTGTTACCGTATAATTTATGCCGGAAGGATTACTGTAAAGGAGGTGCATACGGTAAATGAATGAATACGGTACTGACGGTTACTGTGGGGGAAACTCATACGGTAAATGTATGTGATCGTCATTTTTGTACTGCCATTTTTTTCTCGCTGTTTGTAATCCATGAACAATAAATACTACGAATATATCATCAGCGTTATTGTCTATGGATAATAATACTTACTGCCCTAG